TTTTGGATATATATATATATATATATATATATATATATATATCAAATGCAACACATGTGTAGCACCCTTCTTCAGTCCTCTTCTCAAGAGCCCTCAGCCTGGACACTCTTGGGAAAAGTTATACAAATATCAAAATGCCTTGATGAGTTTGTGTCAGTCTGGAAGGGTGGATATTCTAGACAGACTGTATTTGCATACAGACCACCCTAGGAAATGCCTACATGTTATATTGAACCTTCATTAAAAAAACTTCACTGAAAAAACTGCAAACCAATTTATGAAAGAGGAAGGTTGGGGACAGTGAGGCATGGGAGGAAAGTGTCCTAGCCCCCAGCCAGGAAATAATGGGATTTATTTACTAAAGCTGGAGAGTCCAAAATCAGACTCCCTTCTGCATAGAAACCAATCAGCTTCTAACCTCAGCTTGTTCAATGAAGCTTTGGCAATGAAACCTGGAAGCTGATTGGTTTCTATGCAGAAGGGAGTCTGATTTTGGACTCTCCAGCTTTAGTAAATAAACCCCAATGTGTCCCCCAGCCAGGAAATAAGGCTGGTTCTGTCTGACTCGCTGCAGCTTCTAATGCACACTATGAGATGCCCACAGACTTTCACAGATGCTCACAGACCCTAGCTTTGGCTAACATTTCCAAAATATACTGAAAAAAATGTGCAGGAAGAGATTTTGTATTTCATGCCAGTTCTTATTCAGCAGCCTCTATAATAACTCTCAGAGCTACTTGGATTTCTACAGAAAATAGACACAATACCGTGCTTTGCTATAATTTTCTTTAATACACTGCATTCTTTTAGTTTCCTGTTCTTGGATTTGTTCACAAATTTTCTTTTTTCCATTGTCAATACTCTCAAGTTGTGAAAATGGCATGGTGTTTGACACTTGTTTTCAATTATGGCTACACGTAAGATTCATAAATATGGATTTATTGAAAATCACACTCCACAGTCTCATGTTTTTCTCTTCAGCAGTGCCTGGCTTCAGTATGAATACACACCAGGGAATCTACTTCCATAGACCCACCATTGAGACAGGACTAACATATTATGCAATATGGAACACATACATTTATCTCTAATGAGGCAAAGATAGCAATCAAGTCAGCAGTTTGAGAGTTTTTCGAGTTTGGTACATAATGAAGGTACCAGCACTGAAAATTTTAGTCCTTATTGAACAAAAAGCCTCTGGTAATTGCAATGTGGTTACAGGCTTAGTAGATTTTGCAGTGCCAAGCTAGTTAAAATGAACTAAAGTAAAAAAAATTCTAGTAGCGTTTGTCTTTTATTGGCAGAAAATACTTTGTATGTCTCTTCTGCCAAAAAAACTCCTTCCTGTTTATTCTTGCATTTTTTGTGTGTGTGTGTACACTGCTTGAGATTCGTGCATAGTACATTGTACATTGATGGCAGCTTCAAGATGTCGAGAATGGAGCTGGTATTGGGAAATGGTAACTTCAGTGTGCATGCTGTAAGAAGACATCGGAATCAGTGGAGAACAAAACTGGTGGCAGACAGAGCGACTAGGAAGAGCTTGGAGCTGTCAGTGATGGAGTAGCGAAAACTTGGATATAAGTTTGCTGTACTTGAATATTATGGCCAGGACCCCTTTACCTAGCAGCTTAGTTCAACTTAAAGGTTCTTCTAGTATGTCTCTATTACCCACTACAGATCATGCATTAAAAATGCATTAAAATAATTGTAAACTGTTCCCTGGCCTATAGCATGAGCCCTCCTGCTTACTTCTAATGTAATCCAGAAGCCCCAAAATGATATCACTGTGGCCTGCACCATCCCCTCCCATTATGCACCTTTCTATTGGTGAGTGCCAATGGGCAATTGGTCAATTGCCCATCAGACTCATGACCTGATACATAAAGATGCTAATTTTTTGTTCTGTTAACGCTGAAGATATTATTCAGATTCATAAATTAGTGGAAGATTCCAATGGCTATTGTAAATTCCAGTGATAAAGTAATAGTCTGATTTTTTTTCAGGGAAAATGTCTTGGCATTTTCTGTTTTCATAGACACTGAAAAAAAAAAATTCTCTTGATCTCTATAAGCTGAAATGATTCCATGGAGCTGAACTGTCAAATTGCTTAGGAATCTGACACTGACAGTGCTGAACTATTGCGAGAAGAAGAAATTATCATCACTGTTCAAGGTACAGAGAATGCTAGAGCCAGATTATGAAAGCTGTTGGAGTTAGTATTACAAGTAGCAGTAATAGCAGCGCAACCACTACTATTATGAATATTAACAGTTGAGGAGCTATGCCTGCCCCTCCAATTGACCTGTTTCTTTGTGTAGTAGTAAATTGTAACAATCATGTTATTAGTTATCATAATTATCACTAATTTTCCTATACTTATGTTTATGTTATTACTGCTGCTAATAAGACAAACAGCAAAAACACAACTAATATTATTCTAAATTATTAATATTAAAGCCTAAGTTCAGTCAAATTTTTTTTGTTTTAAAATCAGCACAAGGGGCATTACTTACAGTCAAAGAGAAGTGTCCCTTATGCTGCTGGCTAAGGTTTTAGTTGAAATCTTCAGTCCTTCGATGGCCCCTATACTCTCACAGCTTAATATTCTGGTGCCACGGGGTTAATGTGAGCCGAAGGTTCTGTCATATGCAATCCTCAAGAGTGCTGACTATACCCACCCTTTACACCCCCCCCTCCTCCTACTCCATTAATAGAAGCTGTTCTAAAGCTTCCAAGAATGAAAAGCAATCTATGGTGGATGGGCAGCTGAATGAAAGGCCCATAGCCTCCATTCATAGATCGCTTTTCATTGATGGAAGCTATAGTACAGTAGCTATAGTACAGGGGTTGGGCTTGGCCCCTTAGTTCCAGTGAAGGGAACGTTTAAGGCGCCAGCATACCAAGACATTTTGGACAATTTCATGCTCCCAACTTTGTGGGAACAGTTTGCGAATGGCCCCTTCCTGTTCCAACATGACTGCACACCAGTGCACAAAGCAAGGTCCATAAAGACATGGATGATCAGGTTTGGGGTAGAGGAACTTGACTGGCCTGCACAAAGTCCTGACCTCAACCCAATAGAACACCTTTGGGATGAATTAGAGTGGAGATTGTGAGCCAGGCCTTCTTGACTGACATCAGTGCCTGTCCTCACAAATGTGCTTTTGGAAGAATGGTCAAATATTCCCATAGACACACTCCTAAATCTTGTGGACAGTCTTCCCAGAAGAGTTGAAGCTGTTATAGCTGTAAAGGGTGGGTCAACTCAACATTGAACCCTACGGACTAAGACTGGGATGCCATTAAAGTTCATGTGTGTGCAAAGGCAAGCGTCCAAATACTTTTGGCAATATAGTGTATATTAGCTATGTGGCATTCTACAAGTTCTCCACTTGTGCATTCATGCTTGCCAGCATCTACAGGTTTCTATGATAAATCTCCAATGGGAGGTCTTCTCTGTCAACCTCTGTGGATTAATGATGAACTTTAGCAGCATAGCAGCTAAGAATGGATGCAGGGTAAAAACACTGTCCCCATGGAATAAATTCATTCTGGAGGTTTTAAGTAAAACCTGTAGCATCAATAAAGGAAAAAATATAAAATAATTAACTGTAAGCTAAATCATATTCATGTGTATGAGTGTGTTTTAATGTTTAAACCTTGTTACATAGCTTAGAATTACTTGTAACAATATTCGCACATGCTGCTCAGTAACAGTTTCTATTTGAGATGCTAGCATGTGTCCACTCAGGTTGACTGAAAACAACATAATCTCTATATTTCTAATTTATTTTATTTCTGTAGTCCTACATTGTCTCCTCAAACATATGAAATACAGCTGATTAAATTGTATTTCCCATATGTATATAGAGCCAACAAATTACTTAGTGTACCTAGAACTATTGACACAAATTCCTTCTCCTGGAGAAGCCTATAATGTAATATTCCTAATACACAAAATAGCAGGAGCGCTGCCTCAATGTATGTTATATTACATGAAAAACATGCTATAATAATGAACACATAACAAAAAATTCCTAAAAAGTCCTAAATGTGAAATCAACAAGTGAACAAAAATCCCTTTCACATCCAGAAGGTGATAAGTGCTCTGTGCTCCCCGCCTGTGTGCCCCCTCACTCACGAACTTGAATAGAATCTTATGGTGAGATCAGGGGTGGACTGACAACTCATGGGGTCCCCGGGCAATAGGGGATCATGGGGCCCCTGTGTCCTTGCCCAAACTCAAAAAAGCCTATGAAAAAGGTACCACTGGCATCTCATGGGACCCCCTACTGACCCTGGGCCCTCGAGCAGTGGCCGAGTTTCCAAATGGTCAGTCTTCCCCTGGGTGAGACAAGAGTTTTTCATGCTTTTGGTGGGGCATAGGAAGTCCTGCCAAAGCTTTTAGACCTCCTGATTAAATGTTGCTGGTCATTCCCAGTGATTCAAATGTAGAGCTGATAGGTATGCGGGAGCTTGTAGTCCTCCTGATTAAATGTTGCTGGTCATTCCCAGTGATTCAAATGTAGAGCCGATAGGTATATACATGTAAGGAATGGAGAGAGGAATCCGAAATAGTGTAATTCCGTTTATTAGTAAAAGCAGACACACTAGTATTGCACTCACATGTTTCCAGATGCAATAGGCATGAATCTCCAAATGTACAATAGTAGGTCACTAGTATTCCACAGAGCTCCTAAGCTGATATCACTAAGTCCATGCCTGATGCATTTCTCCCCTCTCACTGAGTGTCCTCAAAGGCATTTTTTTTTTTAAATATTGAGTGTGCACTATTGGTGTGTCCTAAGCGCAGGTGATCATTATCTATCAATGTAATATTCCTGCCACTCTAGGTAGTACACTCTCACTCTAGGTTCATTTTATTCAATAGCCAGTTAACCTACCAGTATAACCCACATGATCAGGGGATAACATACAGTCTCTATAAATCGTGGAGCTCAAAGACAACACTGCTTTATATGCAAACAAAATAATTGATTAACCACAAGCCTACAGGTCACTTATACCCCCTTCCTGCCCAGGCCAATTTCCAGCTTTCAGCGCTGTTGTTTTGAATGACAATTACGCGGTCATGCAACACTGTACCCATATGACATTTTTATCATTTTTTTTGTGACAGATAGAGCTTTCTTTTGGTGGTATTTATTCAACTCTGGGTTTTTTAATTTTTCTTAAACGTCATATGGCGTCCTCCCAGAACGAGAGAACCACCTTGCGTCTGTCATATTACTATATGGCGGGCTGGAGGTGGTTAAAAACAGCTCAATATACAGTTAAAATATATATGATGTGTTTTACCTGCTAAAGGATTTGTAATTCTGTTCAGCTACTAGTGTAATTTACACACGTCTGCCACACTGCACAACCAGGCAATTGACCCATGCGATACCTAGTTAATCCCCTTGACTGAAAATTTTGAAAAAAAAAAAGTTTTTTCTTAGTTTTTGTTATGAAATTTTGTAAATAAGTGATTTTTCTCCTTCAATGATGTGCGCTAATGAGGCTGCAGTGATGGGCACTGATAGGCTGCACTGATGGACACTGATAGGTGGCACTGATGGGCACTGATGAGGAGGCACTGGTAGGTGGCACTGGTGGGCATTGACAGGCATCACTGATGGGCACTGAAAGGCAGCACTGATATATGGCACGGATAGGCAGCACTGACTGGCACGGATAGGCGACACTGACTGGCACTGATAGGCGGCACTGATGCGCACTGATAGGCAGCACTGACTGGCACTGATAGGTGGCACTAATTGGCTACCCTGATAGGTGGCACTGATTGGCTGTGATAGGTGGCACTGACTGGCACTGATTGGTGACACTGAAAGGCAGCTCAGATGGGCACTGATATGTGGCATTGATGTGCACTGGTAGGCACTGATATGTGGCATTGATGGGCACTGGCATGTGGCACTGATAAGCACTGACAGCTGTTACTGATGGACAATGACAGGTGGCACTGCTGAGGCTACACTGATCATCAGGGCACACTGATCATCAGTGCTCTGATGATCAGTGTACATGTCCCCTCCGCGGAATGCCGATTATCGGCTCTCCTCTCCTTTCGAGCTGTCAGCGTGACAGATAACAGATATGCAGATAACTGGCATTTCCCTGCTTACATGTGATCAGCTGTGATTGGATACAGCTGATCACATGACTGAGCTGATATCTTTGGCTCTTTCCATGGATGGGTGATCTGCTGTGTCCGAGGGACACAGCGCACCACCGATCGCCGTGCTGCGCGCTCCAGCAGCCGCGCATGCGCAGTTAGAATGGGTGGACGTCATATGGCGTCCTCCCAGAACGAGAGAACCACCTTGTGTCTGTCATATTACTATATGGCGGGCGGGAGGTGGTTAAAAACAGCTCAATATACAGTTAAAATATATATGATGTGTTTTACCTGCTAAAAGATTTGTAATTCTGTTCAGCTACTAGTGTAATTTACACACGTCTGCCACACTGCACAATCACTACACTTTTTGGCCCATGGGCCACATTGAGAAATGCACTTCATTTAGTATGAGGGGGTCCCTAAAATTGCAGTGGATACAGGTCCAGCCTAGTGGTGGTTGTGCCAAACACCCAGATGTAAACATTGCAGTTGGTTACACGGAATTGGAAGCCCATCTCACAGTGCGCTGATCCTCTTTTACCAAGCCCACCACACATTTCCCAACCAAGTTGGTCTATGTCTTTGTTCCCCAGGTATAGGCTCACTTTCCATTGCATAGGAACAAAGAGACTCAGCCCATGTTGTCCTCTTCTCGCTACTCTTCTTTACTGCATGGGAAGTTGCATAACAAAATTCCACCTTGCCTGGCTGGCCCAGTCCAGATTTCTTGCCCACAAACAGAGCTTTCTTTTTGTTTTGAAACTTCCAGCAATCCTGGTGGCTTTCCTCTCACAGGGGACACTGCATAACAGATACTTCTACATCTTCAGACACATCTTCTGAACTAAGACCCTACCTCTCCCACAAGGGCCTAGACAACACCTTGTCTCTTACTAAAACCACATATGACCCTTCACTCTATTGTCCATCCCCTATATCCTGACCCCACTCCAGCTACACACCCAATCCTTCCTACCTAGGTGTAGACCCTTCCCAGCACTAGCAGCCCCTACAAACAGAATTACTAATCTTTTAGTATTCAAAACAATATCCATATGTGTATTTATCTGTTTGGCTGGAGTTTCACAATAAGAAATAGTAAGCATGGAAGAATGAAGGTCATATGAAAAATAACTTACAATAAATGCTCATAATAGTTTATACGTTGGTTTCTCTCTGAGATAAAAACAATACTTTAACATCTATTTTATTCCTGTTTTGCTGCTTGAAGTGGAAAGATATGAGATATGTACATTGTTATCACAGCATAACATCTTTTTTTCTGCTTGTACACCTCCAGATAAACAATAACGAGTCCTTCTCAGTTTACCTGTTTGCCTAGACCAAGGTTGTTCTTTGGTGTCCTACAGGGGTAGTTACAGTGTGAAGCATTCTTTCATTCCTTGTCACTATAACGCACTTATTACACATAGCCTGTTCTAATCAAGTAACATTCTACAGAATCTTCAATGTTGCTGCTTACATGGCTCCCTCACTCATCTTGCGTCCCAACACATTTTAAATGCTTTGCATACAGCTCTTGTCAAATTATGCTGACAGTATGTCACTTCGGAATGGACAAATTGAATGCTGATAAAATCCCAAATGTTTCAGGGAAGGAGCTGCCTTCATTGTAAGAGCTGTCAACGTCCTGATGGATTTTCTCTTAATATCTACATGGCAAACGCGTACGTGTGAGTGCAAGCAGCTCTTGCTGCAGCTGGAGAAATGACAGGGATTACTGCATTCCTATGTGATTGTTTAATTCCACTATTTCCTTTCTTCGGCACAAAATGCAGGGCAAGGTTTTACAGTTTTACCACCCACAGAGTTAAAAATAGGCAGATCTAGCTAATTTAACAGCAACATATTACAGCCATCATATATTTTTACTAGATTTAATTGGGCAGTGAGAGTGGCTATTTTGGAACTATAGTCATATATGCACTCCTACCCTCCCTACGCCTTTAAAGTTATAAAAGGTTATTGGAAGCATAAAATACCTCAAGTGCTGTTGGAAACCACTGCCTTGGGATCACATGACATTCACTCTCGTGACCAGACACTTAGGCGAAAGAGTTCAGACTGGCTGATACTCCCCTTCAGCAGATATATTGTGACTAAGTAGTAATAGGGTCCTCAGTTTGAACCCCAACCTTGACATTGTCTGCATGGAATTTGCATGTTCTCCCTATGCTTGCATGGCTTTTCTCTAGGCACTTAATTCCAAGGACATGCTGGTTGGTTAGATGGCTCCTGTCATTGTCTCTAGTATGTATACACTTGAGAAATAGAGACCTTAGATTTTAAGGGCTCCTTGAGGACCCAGATTGATGTAAATATACAACATGTAAAGCACTGCATAAATTGTTGTTGCCATATTAATACCTGTAATAAATAAAACAAAATAAGTAGCCCATATAGAAAACAGTGGTAGGATCTACAACGTCCATCCTGCTACTTAAAATAGAAACCTCTTGTATTTGTTTCCTATCCAATGTGTTCTCTGCAACCTTATGCATTGATTACACTGGTGGATACAGCAGGCTCCGCACTCTGCATTTTTTAAATAACCTGTAAAAGGCAGGCACATTTGAAGCACTATGGAATATTTACTGAGATGTTCTGTGAAAAACAAATACCTTTCTCTATTATAAAAAGACCCTAAAGGTCTAAGCAACTTTATGTCTTTAAAGAAAACCCATCCTGATCTAAATATAGATGCATTCAGTGCTGGCCTCTCCTGAAAATGCTGGTTCTTTGGCATTAAAAGCAGTTGTAGTGGGAGATTTGAGTGTAGCTTAGTTCAGGAGGACTGGGAAAGTGGGGCAAATGTAAGTTTTGTCAAAGGTACAGTTGTTCTATATGTTCTTAAACACTTGACACCAGCATTCGTTGGTTAAAAGAACTTGGCGTATCCCTGAAGTATGCTTTCACAAATGTACACTATACCACCTGCTTCTGTTAGCCCCCGCATGCACCTCAGAGAATGACTACACATGCCATTTCTTATTTTCTATAGTACACTACTCTGAGAGGTGATCATATGAGTTCTGTGTAGGGCTGGGGTAGCATTAGTCATAGTAGACCTGTGCGTATAGGTGGCAAAGGCAAATAACCTGCTTTTTACTTTATAATTATCAACTATGCATAGTAGCATTTTTACACCTTGTCTCAATATTTTAATCCAGGTTTAGACCACTAAAACAAGAAGATGTTCTCTAAAAAGTTTAATGTAACCAGAACAACTTGTGATTAAACAAGCACAATCAGCACTCAAGTCCACAGGGAATAATTCATAGAGTTCATAAAACAGGTGGATGGATGGCTGGAAAAGTGGATGAGAGAAACACTCTCTGTCTGGCACCTCCTAGCCCGTGGATCTGGGAAATCCCTCACGAGCATACAAAGGAAACAGAGCAGGGTGCCAGATTATTGTATGGGTTTAAAACAACACTTTAATTCTATTTCTCACTTACACCTTAAAGACCTGTAGACTGCTCCAGGTGTCAGAGTGGTGGTGTGATACACAGCTCACCGCAATCTGGATGGACTGATAGGGCTGCAGGGCACAGGCAGAGACCCGCTGCAAGATGGTAAACTGGCAGCATCTCTCCTCTCACTCACGGCACTAACAGGAAGGCAGACAGGAGAACGTGACTGTCAGGGATCCTGATGCCGTGCAGCTGTGCGACGGTGACAGATCCCCTCGGGCCGTGGCGGTGCGAGTGCACAGGCGCGGGAGCATGCGGGTGCGCATGCGCAGTAGCGTGGAAACCTGCGCATGTGCAGTAAGCGTACACCTCACGCCTGACGGGCTATTTAAACCTGCAGAACAGTAAAATCAATTCCTTCTGGTCTACAACGTTCCTGCACATATTACCTGATCCTGTTGCCTGTATTCTGATTTGCCTGACTAAGAAAGAACTCCGCCTGCACCGACCTCTGCTATCCCTGACCATCCGCTTGCCTGCTCCCTTGTACTTTATCTGTCCGCTTGATACTGACCCGGCTTGTCTGACTCCTGCACCTGGCTCACATCCTGATGGCTGCCATACTTACCTGCCGCTGCATCTGGCTTGCATCCTGACGTTTGCCATACTTACCTACCACTGCAACCACGGTCCTGCACCTGGCCTACATCCTGGTCACTGCCATACCTGCCTGCTACTGCATCCACACTCCGGTGTCCAGCCCCAATCTGCATCCTGATTGCCGCCATACCTGCCTGCTGCTGCACCTACGTTCCTGCATCCGGATCTCCTGGGTCTCCAGCTACCTGCCGCCAGCTCCAGATCCACCTGGCACTCGTGCCACTCCTGACTCTGCGCCCTCTGTTCCCACTATCAGGGACTCCGAGCGGGAGTCGCAAGAGGACGCCTTCTCTCCACGTCAGGCTCCCCAACCAGGTACGTGACAGTGACAGTCTGGGGGGGGAGCAGACCGACACACGTTTCTGAGGTCCTGCCTCCTTTTTCAAGTTAGAAAACGGCTTGTGCCTTGCAGCCCTATCAGTCCATCCAGATTGTGGTGAGCTGTATATCGCACCACCAATCTAACAACTGGAGCAGTCTACAGATCTTTCAGATGGAAGTGAGAAATAGAATGAGTGTTGTTTTAACCATACACTAATCTAGTGCCCTGCTCTGTTTCCTTTGTATAAGGGTTCATGTACATGAGCCATATGTATTTGTTTTTGTTGCCAGCAGTATCCTGCAGAAAAAGTTGTCTGTACGCTGTATGCATGAATCTGTAGGCAGGTGCAGTCTGTTAACTTAACTGTAGGTGGCATGTGACCTGAGTGGTACCACAGCCTGGAGAGGAAGTCAGATGAACCTGGTTTCTCTTTGGCATATGGATCCCTGAAGGCAACATCCTGG